GGGAGGGCGGGACTGGGCAGGTGTTGTTCAAAGGTCCACAATTTCAATTAGCAGGAGGAATAAGTTTTAGTGCATGGCGTAGTCACATGGTGACTATACTTAATAATAATGTGTATTTCAAAATTGCTACAAGAGTAGATTTTAAATGTCCTCACCACAAAGAAATAAGTATATGAGGTAATGAATATGTTACTTAGCTTGATTTAGTCATTCCACAATGTATATATGTATCATAACATCATTGTACCCCATAAATATATACAATTATTATTTGTCAGTAAAAATAAAATNAAAGTCCCACTGTGTGATTTTACACTCCTCAGCCCAGTGTCAGAACAGCGTTATACAGCGACGACCCCTGAGTCTTCTATGATTCTAGTAAGGTCACTGTTTTTGTGTTAATTTGATACAATTCTCCAGAAAAACTAAGAACCAGCTCCATACGTATTGTAGAACATATCCATGGGGACACGTCGGTGGCACTCATCACTGTCAGCACCTCCAATATGTAGTTAGGGCATCAGTTGCTTTTTTNATCATAACATCATTGTACCCCATAAATATATACAATTATTATTTGTCAGTAAAAATAAAATTTAAAAATAAATAAATAAAATTAAGAAAGGAGCTTTCAGAATATTATAACAAACAAAACAAAACATTCTGCTAAGTGAAAGAAGCCAGAAACCCAAGATCATGTCTGGTGTGTGGCATCGCGGGAGGTGAGTTGGTCACAGGTGAGCGTTGTGAGAGGGAGGCGGTCACACTGTCAGAGGCAGATGTGCACAGACCTGCTTACAGTCTACAGCAGAATCTGTCCTGATGAACTTCAAAGTCCCACTGTGTGATTTTACACTCCTCAGCCCAGTGTCAGAACAGCGTTATACAGCGACGACCCCTGAGTCTTCTATGATTCTAGTAAGGTCGCTGTTTTTGTGTTAATTTGATACAATTCTCCAGAAGAATTAAGAACCAGCTCCATACGTATTGTAGAACATATCCATGGGGACACATCGGTGGCACTCATCACTGTCAGCACCTCCAATATGTAGTTAGGGCATCAGTTGCTTTTTTTCTCCTCTCACCGCCTTGTTAAGCTGGTTTAAATCTGAATTCCTGTGACCTCCACGGACTATTCTTCCAAGTGCTGCGTGTGTCTAATCTCTGACACCTACTGTGTTTTGCTTAAACAACCAAGTGGTAATTACCTTATGCCTCCATATAGCTTGAAAATTTTTTTCTATCTATAAGTTCTTACCATTAATAAATGAACAGTCCAGTAGA